TTAAACTTATTATTTGTGTCTGCTACATCAAGTGTCATTTGCTTATTCTGTGCAAGTGAAGTATGATCGCATCCTAAACAAAATCAAAAGGGTAGACAAATAGTCCACGACCAGAGAAATCGCACATCATCCTTTTCTGGGCCTTGGCAGCTTTTTGGGCTTTGGCAGCTATTTTGGGCATTGGCAGCTTTTATTGGCCTTGGCAGCTTTTTGGGCATTGGCAGCTTTTTGGGCATTGGCAGCTTTTTGGGCCTTGGCAGCTTTTTGAGCATTGGCAGCTTTTTGGGCATTGGCAGCTTTTTGGGCCTTGGCAGCTTTTTGTTGTTGCTAAACTTCCACTTTGCATTAGTGAAACACTATCCCATAAGACTGCATGTACCGTAATTTATATACGAACACTGCCCCGTGAGATTGCTCAATGCGCTTGTTGTCCAAAGGGTGTTGACAAACATGTGTCGATGTTACAAGTGTGAACGAAGTACTTATCAGAACACTGTTGGTTCATGTAGTGGTACTTCACCCAGGCTATACCACAACGTGGTAAAAACGGTCGTTAGATGGGACGATTAGCCCAATAGGGAAGCAAAACAGAGATCCCCCCCCCCGTTGGATAGTCTAGACATTAAGTGCATTGTATTGACGGAGATGGGGAAAGCCCCCCCTCCCCTACAAATATGTCACTGTCCACATGCCATTTCTCTGTTTAGGATGAAACTCCATCATGGCTGATGTGGCACAGAGACAGATTATGATGGAGTTTCCCTGATGTACTTGACCTCGCTCTGCTAACCCAAGCGTTTAGGAATACAAGCCATCGTTATTAGGTGCAACAAATTTATCTTATCTTATAATATAGAGACGTTACTTCAAAAAAAAGAAGATGATTACATCTGCTTTATCTTCCACCAACAGAACAGTTGTTCAGACTGACCGATGGATGGGCGCTTCCATTGGCCTAGAGTTCCAAGATTCCAAGATATTAATTCAAAATATTTGATTTGTAAAGAAAAATTAAACATATAAACGGCATTATAAAACAAATATGTCGCCATTCTTGCTTTAAGCCGCAAATAAAAAATTGTTAAACTACGTCTAGAAATAGGAAGATCGATTGGAATATTTACCAAAACGAGACAAATAAATCAGTCGGTGGTAAAATAGCTACAATGATAATTGATATTCACATTTAAGTAGAACATTAACCCATTTTCCGACGAGTACAAACAAAGATCAACTTCAAATACCCCATTACGTAAGCCACAGGTTACGAATAAAAATGTTTCAGGTCAATTTCATTTCGTGTTTTGTACCTTTTCGGTCATGTGGCCCGCGACACAAGTGTCGGAAACGAAAATGGCCCGCTGGCCGTGTTTTAGGTTGGGCATCACTGCCTTAGTCTGTTGGATCGTTAGGACACCACACAAGATTTGTCAACCGTCTTTCTCCATTCCTCTCTGTCTTTTGCCTTGGATAGAATCTCTTACAACGGCAGGCCTGTCCATTCTTTGAGTTGTCTTCCCATCGCTTTCTCTGTCAGCTTCTTCATCTTTTTCCTGGTAACGTTTCCTAAAGAAAGGTCTATGCAAGCCCCAAAGACTTTGTAATATGGCTAATGAGTTTTAATTTGCGTTTTTTTATTACCTTTTTACAACAGTTAGCAGGACATCGTGGGGGTCGAATCAATGCAGTAACCCTTTCTCTTATCTCTTTGTGTTGCGGTCTTTAAATGTGATACCTAGGATCTTTCTGTAGCATCTCAACTCCATTGCTAGGATCCTCCTCTCTAGCTCTACAGTCAGCGTCCAAGACTCAAAAGCATATAAGAATGTGACCATGACCTGGGAGTGCATCAGTCTGATTTTGGTGCCGAGGGTTATGCTTTTTGTCTTTCCAGATTGTTTTGAGTTTTGCAATTGCTGCTGTGGACAACAGACAAGGCAAAAGACAGGGAGGAATGGGGCACCAAGCAAGACTCGTCGACCGTCTTTCTCCATTCCTCCCTGTCTTTTGCCTTGTCTGTTGTCCAGGGATAGGTCAAGGTAAAGGTAAGCTGTGGACTGTGCCTTTAGGACCAGTAGTTCGGGTTTGGTTCCTTCATCTGAAACGATAGCTCCGAGGTATTTAAAACTACTGACACTAGTCAGCTTTTCACCACCAATGTTGTTGCACCTTTTAAAAGCCCTGTTGGCTATTGATCATAATAAAATAATTTTTCAACCTAATTTATAGTAATGCGTAAACTGTGAAAATAGAATTTGAATTGTCCCACGGGGAACAACAGCCTTGTCTAACTCAAATGCGGAGAATATATGTAGGTCGCAACTTGGTCTACATTGTCATGTTGTAGGCCTACTAGCAGCTGTACTCATCCAGAATTTTCGGAATCGAAGACATTGCTTTATAGACTCTATTGGGCATTCATGGAAGCTTGAACCATTACAAAAACAAGCAAAAAAAACGTAAGTGAAATTGGTGTGCGCATGTGGTTAGATTGCCACCGCTCACCCTGTAATGTTTTGTTACGTGTAATGCATTATTTATTGAACAAAACGTCTTCCAGAATAATAGAGATGAAGAATATTTTTGATTATTCAAAGTCAAAATGTTTTTAATACAAAGACAAATAACAATGCGTTTGACTTTCTCGAGTCAATCTTTGCTAGATGTAATGTAACTTATGGATTCAATGCGTTTGACTTTCTCGAGTCAATCTTTGCTAGATGTAACTTATGGATTCAATGCGTTTGACTTTCTCGAGTCAATCTTTGCTAGATGTAACTTATGGATTCAATGCGTCTGACTTTCTCGAGTCAATCTTTGCTAGATGTAACTTATGGATTCAATGCGTTTGACTTTCTCGAGTCAATCTTTGCTAGATGTAATGTAACTTATGGATTCAATGCGTTTGACTTTCTCGAGTCAATCTTTGCTAGATGTAACTTATGGATTCAATGCTTTTCTCCATTAGAATAATTCATTATAAGAATTGAAGTTTCCATTTTTTTTTTTTTACAAAGCTTATCAACTCACTCTGTTAAAAAGTTTGTACACGTTATTTTTCCTACACCCAATCTTTCTACCTTTTACTCCTTTTGAACTGGTCCAGTCACGTGATAGGATCATGGCGCATTCAGAAAGCTAAAAGCAAGAAATTTCGCTAAACAAAAACAATTGGTAAAAATGTTCCTAATTGCAGAGATTTATTATTGTCAGTCTAGATCTATTACAAATTAAATTACAAGATTGATCTAAACGAAATAGCTTAATATAAGCTTTATTTTTTTAAAAGTATTTTCTTGTTTAAAAATAAATATTCAATACATATTTTTCATAAGAGAAAAAAAAAGACAACGCAGCTTGTGAAATGAAATAATTTATTTTATGAAGTGGAAAGACTGACAGTACAAAACTATATAGGAATAATAACTAACTACAACTATGATGCAATGAGCCAGCTCAAGTCAGGGCCCAATTGGCCGAAAAGAAATGACTTGCAGGCTAGACAGATCAATGAAGGCAAAATGATGGACGCCAAAACTGGGAGCTGATAGCTTAAAGAAACAAAAATATGTAGATCTATCACAATTTTCAACTGCAAAACTTTCCAACATTGATATCACAAGCCCCATCACGTAAAACAATGTATTGTGCATTGGGAATGAGCCTCTGAGGCCTCATTATGCAGTATTAGGCTTGGAATGAGCCTCTGAGGTCTCATTATGCATTATTAGGTCATTCTGATGTATGGCTATGATAATGCTTAGTATTAAAGGGAAACTCCGATGGTTTTGACAATTTTTGATATACTCTGTGTTTTGATTGACAGATAATGAATATAGTCTTCTTTTTTTTTCCTTTGCAATAATAATTTAGTCATTGATGTTTTTCCGACGTAATTTTTCTACGCATCCAAAACAGTCAGACAGCCACCGGGTTTCTATGTGACGTCACAAAGGTGTTTTATTCTATTGACTTTTTGTATAACAGGAGACCATACAGCAAATTTACATTCTCGTAAAAGAAATATATCTTCGTCTATGCAGTTTGATATAGGATCTTGTAAGCAAAGAAAAAAATGCGTATTAAAAGTAGATTTACAGGCTTGACTAACCACGGCAGTCTGTATTGTCTCGCCAGACCACTCAACACACAACAAACACTATCGCTGGGTTGTCTTGTCATGACCGACTGCACGTAGTCTCGACTAGCCTTACACTGACCAGTTTGTTCGAATCAGTCAGACACACGATCTATTTACTTCTTGGGATAGGGAGAGGCTTAGATGAAAATGTTACTTTTTTTTCTCCAGTTGGTTATCCTAATGCTTTTGGATCTATCTATACATGTTTATATATATAACTGTATCATAGCTCTGGACTAGGCCGTCACTAAGCCTAACAGCTACTGTAAGAATGAAGCAATACGATTGGTTAAATCAAGTTTCTCTTTCAGTATTGTTTAGAGAAGTGACGCATGAAATAACTTAAAACAAAATCTCAAGGAATCCCGTTGTTTTTTTTTGAGATGTCAAGAATTTACTGGCTAATTTATTAAATATAAAATTTTCTAAGCATTTAAATAAAAAATGATATAATGTTTTAATGTTTACTATTACAACTTTTTACGCAGAATTTAAATATGTCAATAACTCAAATTTGAAAAACTATCGGAGTTTCCCTTTAAACATTTGGCCTCAATAGCATTTCAATATTTAATACATAGGTAGGTGCAGAATCTGAGTTAATTTTTGCTCTATTACATGTAGTTACAAGTAAAAAAAAACAAGAAACAAAAACATTTAAATATGATCTCATTACAATTAGTTTAAAAACAAAACATTCAGACAAAAGAAAATGAGTTCCACTACAATCAATGCTTTCTTTGAGTTTAATCTTTTTCAACTGGCATTAAAGCAAACCATTTGTATCAACACACACATTTTATCAACATGCGCTTTTATCAACACACACATTTTATTCACAAACACTTTTATCGATGCACACATTTCTTCCACAAACGCTTGTATCAACCCACACATTTTATCCACTTTTAGCCACTGATTCAATAAATTAAAAAATAATACAAAGTTGCTTTGAAAAGAAAACTCCTTGGTTTCTAAACCATAACAAAGTTTATTGTGTTTAGTCCAGTCCAATGAATAGTCTCTTCTACTTCTGAGATACAAATTATTGAACAAAGAAAAACTTGTTGGACCTCTATATCAATAAAAACGTATTAGACAATGAAAATCTGTAACTTATTGGACCTTTGACAGATCTTCAATTGTGAAGTCACATACAGAGTTCCTGAGTTCAGCATACCTCAGCCTCTGTAGCCAAAAATTCTTTTATCACAGAAGGAGTGAAAACAAACAAGTATACATCATGAGAGTAAGTCAGAGATAAGTTTATCAAAGCAGCATTTGGAATTTTCATTATTATGTCCTCGTTAGGTCATCTTTGGTGTTACATATATGATATGTATGAGAGTCTATGGAAGATCAAAGTTAAATGGGGTTCCAAATATAACTCTAGTTTAGTGATTCACGGTGGCTGAGCATTAAAGCACTTGGCTTCTGAACTTGGGTTGCAGGTTCGAATCCTGGTGAAGACTGGGATTTTAAATTTCAGGACCGTTTTGCGCCTCTGAGTCCACCCAGCTCTAATGGGTACCTGACATTAGTTGGGGAAAAGTAAATGCGGTTGGTTGTTGTGCTGCAAGACCGCAAGTTCTGAAAGGGGAACATTACTTTTTATTTAGGGAGCATAATTCAAATTAAGGTGACAACAGGCAGTTTACTGTAAAAGTTACTGACCAAAGAAGAGGACAACAGTATTATTTATGTTAGAGATCTTAAGTCCTGACGCCCTAGAGACATATAATGTGGGATTAGAGAAGAAAAACACTAATAAATATGTCACATAATTACAAAATATTGACGAAGGCTAGCAACTAATGAAAATTTTATGGAAGATATGTCTTAAAGTTATGCTTTTCAAGGACATAGAATGTAGAGCTAAATGAATGTACAATAATGTAAAAAAAAAATAAAATAGAAAATGTAAAAAATTATAAGAAAAAAACAAGGGTATGATCTGGCTTGTATAATTATTTTTAAAAAAAAAAAAAAAAAAAAAAAAAAAAAAAAAAAAATGTTCAAAATAATAATTGTGCAAGAGGTTGAGACTGAGATGAATACAAAATTTTAAAAAAATATTTCAAAATATGACTTATAAACAAATGTTTCTGTAAAAACAAAATCAAGACCAATGGAGATACAGGGAGAACATTAGCTTCAAGACTACAGACATTTGAAATACACCAATACTTGTGCAAATTTACATGCATATAAAATACAAATTTCTTATATAAATATTACAGCAGATTATTAGAGATGTATAATGGAAACATTGAATTCAAAACAATAAACAAGTCTTGAATTTGGGACATCTAGTGTAAGAGTAGTACAGTGCTAGCAAATAATGAAAACATTGAATTCAAAACAATAAACAAGTCTTGAATTTGGGACATCCAGCGTTAGAGAAGCACAGTGCTAGCAAATAATTGAAACATTGAATTCAAAACAATAAACATGTCTCAAATTTGGGACATCCAGCGTTAGAGTAGCACAGTGCTAGCAAACTATGTCTTAAATGTAAGAAGCTAGTATAATTTTTTTTTTCTGTTTTTTTTTTTAAGACTGTATCCTAACAAGCTAATAAATCTTATATTGCATAACATGTCTCTTAACTTGTAAGAGTACAAAATGTTCATAATATCTGTTTATTCAGTGTATAGAATACTGAGAGTGTTGATAAAGCGTGGTCGAGAGGCTAAGTGCGCTTGAACTTAGCTTGGCTTGGCTACCTAGAAGGGGGCTCAAGGTTCGACACCTTACTCGGGCAAAGTTGTGTTTACTGAGCGCCTAAACTAAGTCTCCTCTACTTATTTAAAAAATAATTTGGATATAACAATGCCTGTACTTATTTAGGAGGCATGGTGGCTGAAGGGAAAACAATTGGCTTCCAAACTGTGAGGTACCAGGTTCAAATTCTGGTGACGACTGGGATTTTTAATTTTGGGATCTTAAGGGCCCAGCTGAGTCCACCCAGCTCTAAGGGGTACATGACATTAGCTGTTTGAAAAGTAAAAGCGGTTGGTCATTGTGCTAGCCATATGACATCCTCATGAACCATGGTCACAGAAACCTTTACATTATCTTCCCTATAGATCGCAAGGTCTGAAAAGGGGACTTGACTACTTTTGTATGTATATATTAAAATTTTGATTATTTAATTGACAAATGTAATCAATATATATCCTAGTGTCAATGTATTTTAAAATCTCTCCCAGTCCTCTCTTCATTTTAATTTTCTTGTTTTAGGTTTCTTTTATGCCCCCACAATAATTTTTCTAGATCCCTCTTTGTCCCCATTTTTTTTTCAAATTTTAGAAAGTAAATCTAAAATCTAGACATAGAGCATATAAATGTGATCAACTTGATATTGAACATTCTTAGCTGAACATGACCCATTAACAATCTTATAATACTGACGCAGACTACAATGATATCAGTTTAAGCTCAGATCTTTTTGCAGACTATAATGATATCAGCTTAAGCTCAGATCAATTTGCAGACTACAATGTTATCAGTTTAAGCTCAGATCAATTCATCTTCTTACTGCTTTGTTTACAATGATTTAACTTGCAGATCTAAGATAACATTAACTGTCACACATCACAAGAAACAAGTCTGAACAATATTGTAACAGGCCTCATTTTAAAATATAATATGGCGATTGCCTATCCAAATACCTTCACCAAACGTGTCACTCTCTTTGATTGCCTGGTCAAGTGGCATGCACTCTGGACTAGAATCTCAATAGTACTTGGTTTGAATCCTGCCCGCCCCATCCTCCACGGTCCTGCTGGAGGTTTGGACTAGGATGTAATAATCTTCAACTCTGAAGAAATGCCCAAAATGGTAAAACAAAAAATAGCAGCAAAAAGTAAAGAGTATTCTGTGGAATAATTGAAGAACACTTAAAGAGCAAACACTTCATGAGAGTGTCCCAGTGTGATCCAGTCTTGAGCAATATCTTTGTGAATATCACAAAAATGTGTTTATTCTCAAATATTTTTACAATAAATAATGTAATCAATGTATTCAAACAAAAGGCACTTCAATTTTTTGATCAATACTAAACATCACTTTCAAGCAATGTTTCTGACTAGAAACAGCTTCATAATGTACACTCCCTGAACACCATGTACAAAAAACTCATTATTTTGTTAAGATTCAAAAAGTGCATGTCCCAAAATAATGATAACAAAAGCAGATACACAATCAGATCTATGAAGTTGTGGATTTATTAGTTAAAGGATAGCCCCCTCAACTCCTTCAACCCATGAAAAAATAGTTTACAAAATTATTTAAAAAAATATACTCAACTGAACAGTTCTGGTGTAAAAAAATAAAATTAAAGCACTGGTATCAAAAAAAATACAGCAATGGAAATGACCATTAATTAAAATGAAAGCTTGCAGGAAATTTTTGAAGTAAAGCTCAAAATGTATGAAGATATGGAGGTAAAGTAAAGCGGTAAAGTGCTTGGCTTCAGAAACAGGGGTTCCGGGTTCAAACCCTAGGATTTTAAATTTTGGGATCTTTAGGTGCCTCTGGGTCCACCCAGTTCTAATGGGTACCTGACATTAGTTGGGGAAAAGTAAAGGAGGTTGGATGTTGTGCTGGCCACATGACACCCGCGTTAACCGTGGGCTACAGAATCAGATGACCTTTACATCATCTGCACTGTAGATCTCAAGGTCTGAGGGGGGAACTTTTATGTAGAAACAATTGATTTAAAAAAAAAATAATCCAAAGATTTCAAATACTTTAGTATGGCCTTTGGATATGTACGGCACGTATCCCCTTGTTTGATTTGAACCCTCTGCCCATCACTGAAGTCAAGTGACACCAGAGAGAAAAAGATACTTTATTAAGTCTGTCAACATCTGAAGTTCAAAAGATTTATAAAACAAAGAACAAATGGGTTAACAAAAAATAGTTGTAGAAATAGCTGCACATACAATTTAACACCTGAGTATTGGACTGCATAGAACATTGTACACAAAACAGCAGTTAACTTTTTCTCTCCGTTATTATTTTTCCACGTTTCGAAGGAATTCTTCATTTGGCTCATTACTATCTCACTAGCCTGTTATGATTAAGCTTCAATAGCTTTCAATAGCTTTCTTGTTTGTTATCAGAAAATGTTGTATTTGGTATAGAATGAAAGGGAAATTCATGCTCTTTTTATATAACACACACAGTCAAGTTTATAAAATTAAACATTAATTTAATTTAATGAGGTCGAATCAACAATAGTATAGTCGATTAGGAGAGAAAGAGTTAAACAATCTTACAATGTAAAAAGTTTAAAACTAATCTGAAATTTTTTCAAGGTATCAAGCACTTTTAACTCCAATATTTGATTTTGTGCTCAATAAAAAGTATCTGTGTTACTTTCTCCATCAAGACCCAACCTCACCATTCTCATGTTCACTGATCTCTGTGTTGGGACTCCATATTGCCACTTTGCCATCTTTAGAACCTGCCCCTAATTGGTTCAAGACAAAATTCATAAAGGTATTAGTATATGATTTTTTTTTTAATTTAACAAAATACTAAAAAAAAAGTGTTTATATGATTGACCGTGTGGAAAATTTTAAAACTGAATTCAAACATATAATCATGTCATAATTATTCATACATAATCATATATTGGAAATGTTTTTTTTTTCATTTATATACTCAATAAAAGTATCAATAATAATGTCCTTGTTTCAACAAGCACATAAAAAGTTTCACTCAGAAACTTAAAGAGATAGAGGAAGAAAAGTTCATGGCCTACCCTTAACAAAGGTTTGTGTGGCCAACACAATAAGAGTCTCTAATTTTTCATAGAGAATACCCTATGAGCTGAGTTTCTTGTTCTACTAAAATTTGACCTATAATCTACACTACAATCAGGAATTATGGACTATAACCCAGGACATTTGCCTCTGGCACTGCATTCTACCCAAAGGTCACATCTTCTTCAGAACAATGAAAGACTAGTATTAAGATCAATCATGATTTTTTTTTTTTTTAAAGTAAAATCTCCATAAGCCATAAAAAAGATTGTAAAAAAATGTTTTCTAAGAACAAAAATGTTAACAAACAAATTACAAATTTATTCAATGATGCAGAAGGGGTAGAAAGACTATTTTTTTCTGTCACTATTACTAGATGATCAAAAGGTAAAGAAAAAAAAAGATTTACAAAACTTAAAACTAGTCCAAAAAAAAAAAAAAAAAAAACCTAGACAAATGCTAATTACTGGAATCAAACTTTTAATTAACATCTACCCTATTGAACTGACTCACCTGACATTATGTACCTGGACTCTGCTGCACACAGCGACCTGATAGCATCATCATGAGCTTTGATTGTCTTCCATTGTTGTTTAGTTGCCAGGTAATAGATGTGAATT